CCCGACACTCCAAGTATAATAAGGCTTTCGGGATATCGATTGGAGCACAGGATCTCTACCTGGCTGCATATGCAAACTCTAGATAGGGCTCGCATATCTACATAGCTAATTCAGCAAACTTCCGGGGCCAGTGGTTAAACTTTCGCCATCGAACCTGGGCTGTGAAATTTCGATGTCAACCATGTCCTAGCTTAGCAGCTCTAGATCTTAGTATCGCCTACAACCCAAGTTTTTAAATTTCTTATATGCTAGCATCGCCCATGATAGCCAAGTACAAAACCCCTAAACCCAATAATTCCCCTAAACCCCCAAACCCTTAAACCCCTGCCCCCTGGCCAGCTAAATCATTGCTATATATGATCCGATTTGCAGCAGGGATAAACTTAACCCATTAAATCCCAGGATCCTTTAGAATACAAATATGCTTTAACATCCCGGCCCAAATACCCCAATATCTGCAGACTATCATGAGAAGATTCACGGCTACCCTTGGCCAGTCTCAAGCTTAAGCTTTGCCCCGTACCTGGATCACCGTTGGCATCTATCTTAGGCTTCGATTCCCGACCGGACTCAGGTACTTATATGTAGAGGTGATGGAGTGGCAAGGGTTCGGGGTTGCTGGGAAATTCGGGTGCATCCGGTTCGAAATTGCAGTGCAGTTCGGCTGAGGACGTGCTGGTTTTGATTACAGCATAGCTACATCTAGATCTAGAGGTACATTCTGTCGCGAGGTTTGTGTCTGAAGGATTGAAGCATTTTTTTATTCTAGGGTTTAGGGCTTTTAAAACTTGCAAGTTTCAAGTTTTGGGCCTAGCGTGTAGGGTATTATAGGGTTCAGGGGTAATCATTACTTATATTGTTGGATTATGAGACCGTTCATCCGATGTACCGGGCTGGTCGCGGCCCGTGGCAGCTGCGGCAGCTCGTCCTCATCGACGTCGAGGGTGGTCCATCCAGCCACGAACTTCGCGAGTGCCCATCTGGGAAGGGAGTTCGGCTTGTTGTTGGAGGGTTAGATGTTCAGTGGGATGAGCACATAAGTAGTAAAATGCAGGTTAGTCTCGCTCGCGGAATTCCACCGTATTTGTTGAAAGCCATCGAAGATCCCTTCTTCTTGTCGATCGCAATCTAAGCCCGGCCCATGCCGACAACAGCTTACGTAGTTTCACGTGTACATGATACTCGAGCTGATCAAGCAAAGACACCCGGTAGGCAGCTGCATCCGTCTTCCGCAATGTTCGCTGGACGTAGATCGTCCCACAGTACAAGGCAAGAGTGATAGGATTAGCATCTGCCATCGCCGGATGTGGCGGAGGAGACACCGTGTAGCTCCTAGGAGGCATGAGCATATGTAGACAGCAAATTTCTCGTGCTACCGCAACATAACTGTAACAATGCATCTAGCAGCTTGGCTGTGAAGCCGACTGGAGGCTGAAGATCCGGGCACTCGGTGTAGGAACGGATCTGCTGTACATAGTTGTCGGCTCGTGCTTGAGAAGCAGCCAACCTTGCTTGCCTTTGCACATCCACTGCCTCGCCATCCACAACATGTGCAGGTGCACTGCCTCGACGACGTCGGCGCCGAGCAACTGGCTTCTCCTCTGGCTCCTCGTCTGCATCTGGTGCCGGAGCCGGTGCCCTGCACGATGCTTTGGCCTTTGCCTTGGCCGCAGCTTTCTCCTCAATCCAATCGCAAAATATCGTGTACCTTGCACATATCTACTGACTAGCGATGCTACCATGCATGAGATGCAGTCCTGGGCAGCCTTCCGCCGATCGGCTTGCAGCTGTCGTTGTTGATCCCTGACAGCCCCGACTGAACTGGGAGCCACCTCTTCAGCGAGCAATGCCGCCACATCAGCCCCTAATGGCTCATTCGGAACCAGCGGGCCAGATCTGTCCTAGGCTATTAATACTGTGGTCGCGAAACGGTGCCTTGCATACCTGGATCAAACCTAGCTAAATCTTTGCAGCCTTGAGGCCTTGAAACCGCCAGCAGCCTTCGACTGCTTCTTTTGGTCGGGCTTGTCACGGCCGGAGGACTTGGAGGGCTCCACGGGCATGCTGTCGGTGGTTCTCTGCTTCTTCATCCGGGGCTCTTCAGCAGACTTGGAGGAGTCAGCGGTTTTCTTGCGGTTCAACTGGGGCTCTTCAGCGGACTTGGAGGAGTCAACGGTTTTCTTGCGGTTCAACTTGGGCTCTTCAGCGGACTTGGAGGAGTCAACGGTTTTCTTGCGGTTCAACTTGGGCTCTTCAGCGGACTGGGAGGAGTCAAAGGTTTTCTGCTTCTTCAACTCGGGCTCTTCAGAGGGCTTCGAGGAGGGCTCCATGGGCTCGCGACTGAAAAAGCTTCTCGGTTTCCTCAAGCCGGGGTGTGCACCAGAGGACTTGGATGGCTCCACGGGTTTGGTGTCCGGCGGGGTTTTAAGCTCGGCCGTCTCATCCATGCACGTGGCTAGAAGTTGCAGCTCCTCCGGCGACAGACAATCATCATCGGCATCATCCACCTTGGCTTCTGATAGTCAGTATGATGTACTATCAGGATTGCAAGTCTCGAACAGATATATATATCGTTAGAGACGAGCAACCCGGATAGGTGAAGCAGCACATGCAGCAATCAACTCATCCAAGTCTGGCTCGGGCGACGGTGCTGACTTTGAATCCGGAGCCTTAGATATATCAACGAACATGTCGCTCGGATATACAGGGAATTAAGATTGACCTTGTAGCAAAGCTTGCAGACCGAGCACCTCTTTCGAGTAGGCATCGGCCAAGGTATCGTTCAGCTCGTTCAGCACAGCCCAGTCGAGGTCCTTCAGTCGTGCATTTACAGCAGCATCTTCACACTAGCACCCGACCCGAGTTTCTAAAATAATCTCGATCCTTCATGAGGCAGCGGGGCCCAACGGGTGCCAGCGACTCCTTGCTACCCGTGCCAACCATAGCTGCAGGAGCCTCACCGTCGGGGGCAGCTTTCTCCTGCTGGGATGAACATGCTCAGCACAGCTACGGAAAAAAAAGCGCCGAATGATGATCATATGACGGTCGTAATGCTAATTCGAGAGCTATAGGTTTATAAGATCAACGTACCCCTTCGATTCCTCATCATCAAGAACATCATCCTCACTCGTGGCATCGCCATCGGCAGCAGGGCTCGCCGCCATAAGCTCATGCTCCTCGCCCTCCCCGGCCGATACCCATCCCATCTTGATGGCGAAAAGCCGTTTCAGCACAGCCGTTCGGGGGTTCCTTAGTTTGCAACAGCTTTGAATAGATTTATCGAACTTCTCAAACCCACAAACTGGGCAGTTCTTAAGTGATCGCGATGAGGGGCTTCGCTGCCAGTGTCCGCCTCGTAATCCGTGAGAGGGCCGACAAAAGCAGCCGAAGCCGGGCTGCTTGGTCCCGTGCCCAATCCTGGTATGTATGTGTATGCGGGTATGCTATGTGCTACAATGAATGTTCTGCTATGTGAGTCGATACTGCATGCGAAAACCGGTCCTTGACCTTTTGCTTGCCACCTCGAGCCCTGACTTCAGGGTGAATTTCATACAGGCAGCTGATATGAATAGCAGCAACCTCAGTTCAATACGACATGGTGTGACCACCACAGCAACTTGGAGCACTTGTAATCATGATCATTGTGTGACAGGACACAACATGGTCGGAGAGGTTAGGGATTCCAGCTTCCGTAATCACGTGGACGATGTATCGCTTAAGGAGCTCAAAGTTGAGAGAAAAGTCAGCATCCGATACCTGGAACATGCAAGAACATGGACTGCAGTTGTGAATACGGCAGCACAGGCAGCGATTGATAACAAGCTGCATTTGCAGCCAGTGTTGCCTTCTCACCGGAACCGAAATCCACCATGTCGTGGCCCTGAGATCGGACAAGCGGGCCTAGGGGGGGGGGGTGCCTTAAGCAAAGTTTCGCCTATCTAGCATATTGAGGTAAGAAGCTTCGTCACTCCTGAAGTTTTCCAAATTGTCACCCATCTCCATGAACTCCTTGACGGCATTCGCGATGCAGTCCGCTTTTTCCTTACATACGAAAGTTCATGGACTGTAAAACCGAGGAATGTGCAAGCATCGGCATTAGCATTAATTGTGGCTAGGCTCCGTCAGGAAGTACTTCATGGGCTTCTCCACTTGGCGAGCCATGGTGCCGAAAGAAAACCCGGAACCCTCAACTACGATTGCGAGCAAAATGCTCTGCAGAAGCAATGCACGTCTGAATTGACATGATGCTGATCTGATGATGCTCGCTCGACCGTGAAGCCTGATTCCCGAGCCTCCTGCACGTTGTCGTCGCTTCCGCAGAAGCAGGCAGTTCTTCAAAGGCATCTCGAACCATGATCGAGGGAAGCCCGGGGCATCTAATCTGTTTAAAACTCTTATCCGAATGAAACATCTATGCTCGATCGGTCACGGAATCATACAAAAGATTGGGTCTGCAACCTGCTAAGCTACACTAATGTACATTATTTTTGCATTCGCAGCCTATAAACCTGACTGAATGTTGGGTTGGAAGCTTAGCAACATATCATATTTATCACCTGGCAGGACTTTGATCTGTAATGCCATTCTGTGGATCGAAACTCCTCTCAAGCAAAATAAAAGCGAGTGCTCTCATACAGATGACTCGGACCCTCTGGGCTAGGCTTTAAGTGGGGATTTGGTCTACGCAGTCCTTCTGTACCCCAAGCCGGACAACACTTGAGGGGTTAGGACCGGACTTTCAGTAGGAGCCAGAAAGTTGGAACATCATTATCCCCATGCCCCTTAAGGTAAAGCACAAGGAATCCTGGCACTAGTCCTCCTAAAGCCATGCTCCAACTTTTTGGCTTCTACTATAGGGATTTAGGCCTACTTGTCGGGTATCATGGGGAACTAAAGGTTAACCTTTTTGGTTGTATTCTAGGGCTACCCAAGAAATGTTAAAGTTTACTTACTCTACTACTAGGTAGGGGTCGGGGCCTCGGGATTGTGGGGCGAGAAGCAGCACCTTGCTCCTTGATCACGAGACGCGACCTGCCAACAGGTGAAGGAGGAGCTACAACATAGGGGGAATAAAAATTAGACAAATTAGAATAATCAGAACAATAAGAATAATAAGAACAAGCATAAGAATAACTTCATAATTATGATAAGAGCAAAGAGCTGCAATAATAAGATTGCAGTGTTTCGGGATGTATCACAGTAGATCAATACATGACTTCATATGTGGATCTTTTCCAACCTCCCCCTTGAAGCCTCTTCAAGCCTCTCTACCCGCCTCCCTTTCTCAAAGTTTTTCGTGTCCCCTTCAAATGCTCTTCAAGCTCTTTCACGCTTGTAGCTTCCTCAAGCTTACGCCTTGAAGGCGGTTTCTGAGATTGCATCACGGGACGGAGCCGTAGACCCTTTTGACCCCGAAAGCTACTGAACCCGCTGCCCCCAGCGCTTAACCGTAAAATCCCCATCCTCAAAAAACCAAGCCCTGGGAGGGCTTCTTGGGTTTAGGGTTCCTTTAAGGGTTTAGGATTCCTTTAAGGGTTTAGGGTTTAGGGTTCCTTTAAAGGTTTAGGGTTCCTTTAAGGGTTTAGGGTTTGGGTTTGAGGCTCAATAAAGGGAACTCCAGAAAGTTGGAATATGGTTTCAGGGTAGGATACCCTAGAATTTACCATAAAGGGTTTAGGATAATCATATTCCAACTTTCTGGCTTTTACTGTAGAGCCTGAGCCCGCTTCTCCTACCGAATCTACCCGTGCTAGTGCTGCAGCAACCGCAACCTCGACCCGACTTGAAAGCTAATCGAAGCCCTACAGTAGAAGCCAGAAAGTTGGAATATGGCTTCATGGTAGGATCCCCTATAATTTACCTTAAAGGGTTTAGGATAATCATATTCCAACTTTCTAGCTTTTACTGTAGGGCTTCGAGCCCGGCAATCTGAAACCTAGACCCGGAGAGCGACACATTAAGGTAAAAGCCAGAAAGTTGGAATATCATTATCGTAACCCCTTTGAGGTAAATTATAGGGGATCCTACCATGAAACCATATTCCAACTTTCTGGAGTTCCCTTTACACTGGTTTAGGGTTGAGGGTTTGCGGTCTAGCGTTCCCTGGGCTCTTTAGCTCCTTATTTAGTAGGGATTATCATCACCCCTGGCTCCTTAGCTCCTCCAATATCAGTGGTTAGTTAGGGTTCAGGGTTTGCGGTCTAGGGTTTAGAGTTCACAACCATCCCTGAGGCCCAAACCGCGGCCCCTGAACCGTTAACCCTGAACCACGATCGAGGGTCCATGTACCCATCTAGAAAACACCCTGACCAGAAGGCTATACTTAAAGGAGCAGGGGACTTAGTAAGTAAGTTTCTAAGTACCTTAATCGGGGTTATAAGTATAGTTACATTACTTATAACGATATTTACTAAGTCCCATGATCCTCTAAGTAGAGGAACTCCTTCAAGGTCAAGGTATATACTTTACGTATGGGTACTTGACTCCTTTAGTACCTCCTATTTCAAACAGCAAAACCAACATGAAACGATCTGAGCCCTTAACCCTAGTGGAAGCTTCAGGGATAGTAAATCCATGAAATCGGAAGCCCTGGTGGAAGCTTTAGGGATGGTAAATCCATTAAATCGCGAATGGAACCATTTCAACCCTTCTAAAAACCTATTAAACCAACCCTCATGGAACATAGGGGACGCCGCCTACCCCGTAACATCGGGGCCTGAATAACTAGCATAGGGTTTCGGGGCCCATTAAACTCGAAATATAAGAATAAGCCATCCACAAGGTAGTATTGGTAATTCTTCAGGCCCCTATACTAAATATCCTTATAATAGCCCTTATAGTATAAAGGACCCAGAGTAAACCCGAAACCGGTCGACCCTCGGCTGCCTTCCCTCACCAGGCATGTCCACGAGGTAGCCGCCTGCAAGGGACGAATGCAGTGGCCTTACCAGTTAGAGTAAGGGATAAGTACTTAAGGTTTCGGGTTTAGGGGTTGAGGGTTTAGGGCTTTAGGGCGGTCAGAATAAGGGATAAGGGTCTAGCTTTCTTTTTTTTCGCTCTTTTTCTGCGAGGGGGTTAAGGCTTAGGGTTCATGGTGTTTTTGGTGTAATACAACTATACCTATAAGAAGGAACCACCAAGAGTGTATTGGAACTTATTCAGGCCCCTATCTTAGACGCCTTATCAGCTAGAATTGGGTTTTGCGTCATCTTATTGCAAAAGTACATTCAGGAGCCCTCGGGAATAGGCACCATAGTAAACTGTTCAGGCTCAAATATCATAGGGATCCTTAGGGGTGTAGGGGGCAGGGGTGTAGGGGACTATATTTCCTTAAATAGGCCCTACACCCCTAAGGATCCCTATGAAAATAGTGCGACTCCTCCGGCTTGAGGTTTCCTTTCAGCTTCCAGCATCAACTGTGGGGGCAGTTGATTAGGATGCGGTGGTGGGGTATGTGCTGGTACTAGTAGGGTACGACAATTCTCAAGTTTACTTCTGGACTATCTCATCAGACATCATTAGGGTTTTCGTGTGTGCGTGTGTGTGCGTGTGTGTGCGTGTGTGCGCATATATGTGTGCATTTCTGGGGTGGTGTCGGGATGGACAGTCGGATGTGGGATTCAGGGTTTACCCTGAGGTCTATGTGCCCGTATGGCACGTATTGTTGCCCCTTAAAAGGGGCCTCTTTATAGTTATCCAAAATGAAAGGGGGGACCCTTAATAAGGACACCTAGGTATAGACCCTTAATATAGCTAGCATATACCCATTATATAGCACATTATAGGGTAGGGGTCCCCATTAAGGGTCCCTCCTTTTCCCCTTTGAAATTAGAAGCTTTGAGGATGCGTCGGTGGGCCTTTGTAGGACGTTTTTGAATTCCGGGTCTGGGTATCGGTCGGTTGGATTGCAGTTCGTTTAATCAAAGAACTAAGAACACCTAAACAGGTGGAATGTTCTATGTGTCAGGATTCAGGGACTAGTTTTGTCTTGTATACTCTTGCCGTGATCAAGAATTTTATGTTGAGGATTTAGAGATCAAGAGGTCTTCAGAACGCGTATCGCCCCTGCGGTACATCCCAAACATCCCCAAATCCTACTCTACTGATTGAGGACTCGAGGCGCTAAACCCTAAACCCCCAAACCCTAGGCCCTAAACCCGAAACCGTAGGCCCTAGAGCCTAAACCCTAAACTCCGAACTGATAAGAACCACGACCGCGGGCCACCTGTGCTCAGCTTCGGAAGTTGGGGCGACCTGGGATGCAGCGAGAGATGAGGGCCTAGGATCTTCTGAGCCCTACACCGAAGGATACCCACCCCGTGGGACTCTCATGGGTGCGCACAAGGTGACAGGGCTTTTCAGGAGCCTCTCATACAGGGCTCTTACACGTTTCTCAATGCGGATCTCTCTCCATCGCTCGCTCGCTCGCCCGCTCGTTGTCTCGTTGTCTCGTTGTCTCTCTCTCTCTCTCTCTCTCTCTCTCTCTCTCTGTCTCTCTCTGTCTGTCTCTCTCTCTCTCTCTCTCTCTCTCTCTCTCTCTCTCTCTCTCTCTCTCTCTCTCTCTCTTTTATTGTTGATATTCACAGGAATTTCTATAAATTGCGATCTATATACTCATATCTGAATATGCTATATATTGAAACGTATATGTATACATACATATGCACACGTACTTATGGACATGCACTCTGTTCGGTGAGGGTCTTCCAGGCTGTTGGCATGTGCTGTCCAAAGCCCTGTGCGGCATGTACCATCACATTGCACGAAACAGTGACGTGGTAGTTCTTCGGCCTTTGGTTAGGTACCCTAAACCCCTCAACCCTAAATCTCAGAGAATCACAGCATGCTTGACAATTCGGAGTTCGGTTGCATTCCCGTAATCTCCTAGAGACCAAACAGAAAGAAAAGGGTTGGTTTCGGGTTTCCATGGTCGAACCCAGAAAAACCCTAAACCCCAAACCTTCTAGATCTTCAACATCTCCCAAACTCCACCGTGCGACGGGGCCGGAGCAGCGGTATTCCCAGAGCTTCCAAGAACGCTGCAGCATGCGAGGAGGCGTTGGGCGATCAACTCGTTGCCTGCAGGTTCCCAGACCCCCGGGAGGATCCTTTAAAGGGATCTAAAGGTTTAGGGTTTAGGGGTTTAGGGTTTAGGGGTTTAGGGTCTAGAAAGTAGATCCCCTAATTTGGGTCCCTATACTACTAAGGGTACTTTATAGGAACCACCATTAAAGGATCTATGTTTTGGATCCTCCCGGGGGTCTGGGCTTACGGAGCTCTGTCTTTGGGGCGGGGATGATTCAAGGGTTGGTGTAGGATTGGGGCTGTAGGGCTTTATGCATGGGTCTTGGGCTTAGGGTTTTCCGGGTTTAGCCGTTCAGGAGTTGCAGGTACTCACAATCCCGTGCTGATGAAAAGACCCAGGTAACTAGAGCTACCAAAGGTAGTGGGCTTACACTTGGTTACATCGGTTCTCTACACACACGTGAGAATCAGTGATGAATACAGTACCCCTACCCGCCAAGTGAAGTGGCTGAGGATTTCCCGGGGCTCAACCTGCTAAGTCAAGCCCAGAGAGCCCAATACCCCGCTGTTAAGGAATATACCTTAAACTAGAAAGGGGCTCATATTATGAGTTAGGCTATATTCGGCAACTAAGGGGTATTGGGCTCTCTGGGGGTCTCATGCGGGTGGTATGTTTTCATGACAACTTTTTAGAGGTTACAGGTCTTCAGGCGGGAGGTTTTGAGTTCAGCATTCAGGATTGAGTTAAGAGTATGGGCGGAGAAGATAACGGGCTGAGTTAGTACTCAGGTGGCTTGGGTCAGTTTATTCTTCGTTTTGCGTCCCCAAGTCTCAGCTCAAGCCCCCCTGAACCCAATGCTTATCCTATACCCAAACCCTAAACCCTAAAACCCTAAACCCTAAGCCCTAAACCATAAACCCAATCCCTAAACCCTAAACCCTGAACCGGAACCCCAATACCCTCAACCCTTAACCACAAAACCTACCGAACCGAGGCACCAGTCAATCCAAAACCCCAAAACCCTACATCCTACAGCCCAGAGCATGTGGGGGCTTTCCAGACATGGCATCATAGGGTTTAGGATTTTAGGGTTTAAGGGTTTGGGGTTTTAGGGTTTAGGCCCTAAGCCCTAAATCCTAAAACCCTAGACTCTTAAACCCTAAACCCCTAAAAACCCGTAAACCCTAAACCGTTTATGTAAGGGTTTAGGCTTTAGGGGTTTAGGGTTTTTCTGGGAGACTGGGGCTAAGGGCTGCACCAACCGTGCTCTTCGATCTCTGCCGCGCTGTTGCTGACGATGCTACAGTCTGGACTCGTGTGGGGGAGCTTCACCCCATGACTATACTGAACTTAGAACCCTAGCAAAAATCATAATTTTAGCTGTTTCTTAGGGATTATATTAACCAACAATTAAAAACTATTTCTAAGTACCCCTAAGATGAACTATTGCTATACTAGCAGCAGGATGTTGGGGCTGTAGGGCTTCAGGGTTGTGGGGTTTAGGGTTCAGGGAGCTAATAGCTTCTGAGGATCCACGTTTTGTAGGGGGAAAAATGTTAGGGGCCGGGCAGGAAACCGTTAACCTAGTAAGCTTGTTTGGGCTATTCGGCCCCTTTGGGTGAGGACTCTGTAGGACATCCGAAGGTTTAGCACCCCAAAGCATCTTAAACCCAAACCCCTCAATGACCCGAAGGCCCTAAGCCCCGAAACCCCTAAACCCCCTAAGGCCCTAAGCCCCTAAACCCTAAAGTCACTTCGGGCTCAGTGCAGTGGAAAAAAAACCCTAAAGTCCCTGAACCCGAAACCCTAAACCCCACACCCTGAACCCTACCCCCCCCCTCCAAAAAAAAAAAATGACAATCCCTGAACCCCTAACCCCTAAACCGCTTGAGTGATGAGCCTTCCGGTCCTGGATGTAGCCTCGGATCAATCTCGTGTTTCAAGGCTTCCAAAGGCAACAACTCCCCTCAGCGCCACGGTTTAGGGCTTAGGGCTTAGGGCTTAGGGTTTAGGCATAGGGTTTAGCAAGACCCTAAACCCTATAAACCCTAGACCCTACAAACCCTAAACCCCCAACCCTAACATGTATATGGGTGGTTGTCAAAATTGTGGTCCCTTTTTGGGTACCCTAAATATTAAGTGCCGTATCACGAGAAGGACCCAGAAACAGACCCTAATGTTGACAATCACCCATATAAAGCTCGCAAACCGGCAGCAGCCCTCCCCCCCACACCAACGCACACGAAAGCGAATCTTTCGCCTCTGCCTGCGACCTCCAATCATGTGGGTGGTTGTCAAAATTAGGGTACCTTTTTGGTACCATAAATAATAGGTGCCGTATTATACTAAGGACCCCAAAACGCACCCTCATTTTGACAAACACCCATGTAGGGTTTTGGTTTAGGGCTTGGCATTTGTGTGGTTTAGTATTTAGGGTTTAGTAAGGGTTTAGGATTTTAGGGTTTAGGTTTAAGGCTTAGCATCTTGTGTGGTTTAGACTTTAGGGTTTAGTAAGGGTGTAGGATTTTCGGAATTAGGTTTATTTAGGGCTTAGCATCTTGTGTGGTTTAGCGTTTAGGTTAGGGTTTGGGATTCGGACTTTAGGAATTAGGTTTAGGGCTTAGCGTTTCGGGTTTAAGGTTGAGAGCGCACAAGCCCCAGGCCTAGTCCCCAACGCAGCCCCTGCACCTGCACACTAATATGAGCGACTACATGAACCTGATCCCCTTTGCGTCGAACCCCACTGGTGTTCAAAAGGGTTGCTGGAGGAATTTGCATAACGCAACATCTTACACTCTCGGTAAACGACCAAGGCGGACCAAGGCGTAGAAGCAAATCCAGACCGTCGGTCAATCTGGTCAAGAGCAAAGACTGTTCAACAAACACCGCCAGGAAATTTGGCATAATGCCTATAGGGCTTCGGGGTTACAATCGGAGACTTTATCTGCTACCCGTCAACCCCAGACACAGCACCCTAGAACACAAACCCCAAACCATGAACGCTCATATCCGCAAACACAAAGGTCGGATGAGGAACTTGTCGAAGAGCATCTTCTCCTCACTGCGTCCAAGGAGGGTGAGGCCATCGATGTAAAACAGCTGCCTTAGCTTCAGGGCTTCAGGTCATGCTTTTGTGAAGTGTGGTGGGGCAATATATCTTTTCAAGAGGGCTCTGACAGGTTAACTCAGGGAGCACCTTGTGATTCAAAAACCACTCACAATACTCGTCGTCCGAAAACCCCTGAAAGCCCAAACCAACCCCAGACAAGCTTCAGATGAAACTATTCATATGGAAGCCTCCTGATCACTAGAATAGCGTGTTGTCGGCTTTGGCGCTCTAGTATAGTAGAGTCAAACTGTCGCACATTATTCAGACCTGTGTAGTAGACAAGAAGCATCACACAGATTGAAGCCAAAGTGGCTCATCGCCACCTGCCTTCATGGTGTTTATGCACGTTAAAAGGCAGCTGCGCAAATCCTCAGGATGAGCTTCTGCTCTAGGGCGGTAAGGTTCAGGCTTAAGACGTAGAGCTAATAGATATCTATATCTATATCTATATATATATATATATATATATATATGTACATATTTTTGTTGGTTTAACGTTCGGCTACAGGGTTGAGGCCTCGCACTTGTGGTTTCGGGTTGGTTTCGCCCTGTACAAGTCCCATGCTGTGCTCCTGCCTGTGCTCGGATGAGGAAAGAACGGACACAAAATGCCGGGATTCTCAGTACCCGGGACTTCCCACCATCATATATGATGTCATTCAACCTTTGTTCAAAACACTAAACCCGTAAAGTTACAAATCCCAAATACGAAACCCTAAACACCAAAAGCCTAAACCCCAAAGATTGAACCCCAAAACCTAAACCCCCAAACCCTAGACCGTTAAAGTTCTAGGAAGGCACTGTACACCATAGACGAACCTTAGGGGTACTCTGAGGGCTCAGGGTTGCCTCGACGAGTTGGAATCCCGAGCGCGCACTTAGGGCTTAGTTTAGGAATAGGGTCCAGGAGTCCAGGTAGGGTTTACTCTCAACACCCATTATATTGCAATGCCTGGCAAGTTTATGACTTCTCTTGCAGAAACCCGAAATGTCCGACATTGGATGGCCTTCGCGCCCCGAAACGATACAGTCAGAAGTTTGCGCCCTCAGTACACTTTCAGTGTCAAATGTTTCGTCGAAGAGAATATCATCCCCGAGCTCTAAATCCAAAAGCCATGAACATCGGCCACATCCTCATACATCATTACAAATGGAAGGCTACATAACTAAGTGTGGACAAAAGACATGGATAGTTCATCCAGATTTGCAGCTGCTGGTGTCATTTAGAATGATGGGCTTCATGCCAATGATCCGACCAGACCTACTTAAAGGATCATGGGACTTAGTAAGTAAAGTTATTTGTACTTTAACTGAGGTTATAAGTGTTTGTAGGTCTATAGTTACCTTACTTGTAAGCGTAGTTACGACGTCCCATGATCCTCTAAGTACAAACCGCAAAAACAAAACGTTTCACCCCAGGCTCAACACTGCACCCTAATTTTTTCAACCCTGAATTCGGGATCTTACTTCCATACGGGAGCTGCAGAAACAAGGAAATCCAACAACATGACAAGTTTTTGCAGGAACTTTAATAGAAGGAGCCTTGCAGGATGTGCCAGCATTTCCTCCAGAAAACATGTATACCCTTGATGTAACGCTGCAAAACCACCAAACATCAGTGTCATAATAAACAACTAGAAAAAATCCCACATATGAAACCCCCAACGCCAGAACCCGCATTCGGGTCCTTGAGCGACATGAAGCTGGATCCACCCACAGGCGCGCGCTCCTTCTGTGTTTCGATTTGCTATCAAGCATTTTGCCGGGGTCCTGTCCTGAGGCCGGGAAAACACGAAAGGGATGTTGGTCATCTGGAGCAGGAGGGCGCACCATCTTCCGGTGGCACGGGCACGGGTTTCTTAAGAGTGGTGTGAGGTGTAGAATAAGGTGCTTTTTGTTGAACAAGAGGTCTAGGTCTTAGGAATTATTTTGCGTGTAATTAAAGGTTGTCCAGAGATCTTTAAGCTGCAGGACGTTTAGGATTTAAAAATTTGGGTTTTCAACCCCATGCGAAACTGACCTCCACTTTGCTGTGTTTCCTTGTCATTCTATCTCCACGTCATTCTATTCCAACTTTGGTTACTCAATAACCCAGGAGCCTCAAGGAACGGCTGGGGTCCGAAACACGCTGCCGCCATGAGCTTTGTAGCCTAAGTTCATAACATTTTGCGCCCGATTAGCACTAGCATGCATTACTTCTTCAGTTTCGGTCGTCCATGGCTCATGTGGGTGAAAACAGTGGAAAAAGCTTCACGGCAAAAAACGCCAATCTCAAACCGACTCGTGAACACAATGCGTCCGAAGCACTCTATGAACATGTTCAAGAAATGAAGAGGCTAGCACAATCGTGCTGGGCCTGGGACCTTGGGTAGGGACGAAGCGTTTAATGAACTGTAGCTCGAACAACTGCCTTTGTTGTAAATACTTTTGGGTCTTTAGGCGCGAGCGAGCAGTGCTACCTGCATGTTGTGCATGGGGCCTGCACACTTTCTGCAATTGCCGGAATGCCTTGACACTCAATCATAATTAACTCAATGAACGAACCTTCTGGGCCTCATAAAGCACAATTTCGTGCCAACAAGGTCGAGCATTGCTAGATACTTGCACCAAATGTCTGCATGCCCTTGAAACATGGGTGCCGATTTATGCGCGTTGGTTTTACGCATTGCACATGGTCTCCACCTTAAATTTCTGAGCAAGCGTGCTGCTTGCCGAGGAGCATATCTGAGTTTGGACAAGGCATGACAATGCATTCATCAAAAGATGAACAGGCAGCCTCGCAGACGTGGAACCGGAAAATTCCAATGCTTGCGTCAGTTCCTCTTTGGGTAAACATGCGGTTTGCTCGGGATCTCTCGCACCACCTTCATGGCAAAGAGGCAAAAGCCCCAAAAGAAGAAATGGCCAGGTTCAAGAGTGAGTCTATGCACTAATGGGGAAGTGACAACTATGATAACAGACCAGTTGCACAACGAAGTAAGTAAGCAGATTCTTAGATGCCAACCTCACTAGAATCCCAAACGTACCACCTGTGGTTCTGTTACGTCATACGGCTAAGTACCTATTTGCATTCTGTGAGACATATTCACGGACTTCCAGTTGAAGTGTTTTGAAGCCCTTCAGCCCTCCACCCCAACCCTGAGACTCGAAGGCCTTAAATCCTCAAGCCAGACAGCCCAATAGGACCCTGGTCCTACAGAACCGTCAAAGAAGCCGCAAAGCCCTAGGGCCCTCAACCTACAGGTGGAGCAATTGCATCTGATACTCCAAATCTGGGCCCGGCTCTTTCGAGCCAGCTTGTTCTGACTTTCACTGTCGGGGTCAAGATTCAGGTTTAGCTTCTAGGGGCGCAACGCGTAAGGTTTAGGTTTTGGGGTTTTGGCAGGTTTTGGACTTGGGTCCGTCTGCCCGCGCCAAATGTAGAGAAAACCACGGAGATATAATGCAGGAACTTTAATAGTTAGAACAGGGTTTTGGGGCCCATTATACTATAAGTACCATAAGGAACCCCAGAAATTGTGTAGGTAATTATTCAGGCCCCTATATTAAATCCATAACACAGCCCTGATGGTAACCCTTATAGGCCATTTTAAAGGAACACTGCTCTAATTACTTTATGAAGGCCCCTATAATGGCTGTAGAGTGCAAGGCATGCCTGGGGCTGCTCGGTAGTCCACATTGAACCCTAAACCCTAAACCCTAAACCGCTCTCGCAAATGTGGTCCGGGTCCACGCAAGGCGGGCGCACACACCACAAGTACAACCCTTTAGGGTTTACCTGGAGATCCAAAAACCTACCGTTTTCGGGGCCAGACACTGTAATAAAGGGGTCATAACCTACTATTTTGTAGGGTTGGGGGATACAGGTAGAGTTTAGGGCTTTAGGGTTTATGACGCGGGTAGACACACCACAAGTACAACCATTTAGGGTTTAGAGTTTAGGGGTTTGGGGTTTATGACAGGAACGCTCCCAAATTGTTGGGGTGGTGGAGTATCTGGAAGCTTCAGGATGTGGAAACCTAAACCCTGAATAGCCGCATCTTTCCGGGTTCCCCGAGTTTCAAACTCCTGTGAGTCCTTGTTTGTGCCTGCAGACATCGTCATGTGTGTGTGTGTGATCTTGAGATCAAGGCGATATTTAGAGTTCTGAGCTGAAGCGGTCTAGGATTTAGGTTATAGGGTTTTGTTGGGATATATTAACACTATTTTCTAATTATGATAAGGAACCCCCAACGCCCTATTCTAACTATTACGGCCCTTACATAAGGCTTGGCGGCTTGACCCTAAACCCTAACTATACTGAACTTGGAACCCTAGCAAAAATTACAATTTTAGCTGTTTTTTCGGGATTATAATAGCCAAAAATTGAAAAATATTTCTAAGTACGCCTGAGCTAAGCCGTGAAGACTAAGGCCCTGGTCCTCCAGGGGCCCGTACCAAAGCGGTGAGATCACCACAATCGGAACCTTCGGATGCCCATCACCTTACCAGTCAGGGATTTAGGGATTTCTGTAGGGTTTAGGGTTTAAGGGTTTGGGGGCTTTGGGGTTTAGGGGTTTAGGAGTTTAGGGGTTTAGGAGTGTAGGGTTCAACGTGTGGGAGCAAACGGTTTCGATTAGAATTTACTACAATCAACCTCAAGCTACGAACAGGAGGTTTAGCTAGTTCAGCAGGCTTAGGTTTCTACGTACCACTAGGTACACAACAAATCGCACGGAGATTAGATTTTCCACGTTGGTGCAGAGGCCCAGTCTTGAGGGTTTCAAGGTGTTCTGGACATCTCGATGAAAAAGGGTGCGGCTCACAGGTGTTAACAGTAGTTGTCAGCTGAAAGAAGCCACCCCCAATTCAGGAAAAAAACTAACCAAAGTGCACCCAGTACTACACCTTAAACCATAAATTTCAAAGTCCTGATATAGCGGCCGTATTGATGCCGACTCGAATTTCGGTGCGTCTTGTAAGATAGCTGGAAGCAGGAACTTTAAGATGTAATCTTACTATGACATTACCACGAATTATTCAAGCTTCTAAACAATTATGCAGAAGTATCAGCCTCGTTTGCAGCAGGAAACCGAACATGCCCTTTCTGATGGGCTACAGTTTGGAGGTGCATAAGCTTTTTCATTGCGGCCAGGATCGAATTCGCTTCGAAGAGTCTTCAAAGTGCGACCAAAGAATAGCCAGGTATTAAATATTAACCCAAAGGGTCCTAGGTACTGTTATTACGGGGGACCATATGTAGATAGGTACTCATGAATTGGTGGGCAATCAAGAAGAAGCAGCTATTTTGAGCTTAGGATTCCAAAGCTGGTGTTTCACGGGTTCAGGATCTCAGGTTTCAGGTCGAGTTTAAGGTCTATCCAGGGTTCGTTGAAAAAAGCTTTCAACGCCAGAAACGTGGCGAAAAGCTAAACCCTTTAGATTACTCCTAAACCCTGAACCCCGAAACCCTAAACCCCGAAACCCTAAACCATGACCTATACCCTAAACCCTAAACCTTGAAACCTCCGAGAGACAATCCAGGAACCTGAAAGAAATATGAGCCCAAGGGACCGGAAACCGGTTTAGGGGTTAGCTTAGGGTTAGGGTTTTAGGGTAAGGGACCTGAAATCGGTTTAGGGGTTAGGGTTCGGGTTGCAGGGTTTAAAATTTGGGGTTTAGTGATTGGAGCCCAAGCACCACCTAGGCCAAACACCGGATAAATAGCACAGATACCAATAAATAAACGGTTCAAGGTATACCCTAAACCCTAAACCCCTCAACCCTAAACCCCTAAACCGCTAAACCCTAAACCCCTAAACCCCTAAACCCTAAACCCTAAACCCCTAAACCGCTAAACCCTAGACCCCTAAACCCTAAACCCCTAAACCCGTAAACCCCTAAACCCTAAACCCGTAAACCCCCAAACTCTAAACCCTAGGACAAGGGCTCAATGACCGAAGCTGAAACCACGACTTTCCCATGGGGTCCATATAGGAATTTCCGAAAATAGGGACCCTAATATGGTACCCTAAATAGTAGGATCCTGAAAAATGAGGAACCCCAAAAATAGGTACCCCCGATTTTCGGAAACCCCATATAGACTAAAGTAGAAGCCCAAAACTTGGAAACCCAATAGCCTCATTCCTTAAGAGTAGTGTATAGGGAATCCCAGCACGATTTTGCATTTATCCGGTTTCCAACTTTATGGGGCTTACTGTAGTCGTGTGGAATTAGGCCCCCGAAGAAGACCATCCCAAGTATGTTTTTTCTTTTTTGATGGGGGGGGGCTGATTCAATCATGGTAGTATATATGGACCGTCTGGGTTTCTAATATAGGGGCCTTAGTAATTAGAGTGCTGCTTTGGTACCAAAACTTATAATAAGGAACCGCCAAAATACTGTGGGTAATACTTAAGGGCCCCATCTTAACGGCAAGCCCTTCTGACTTCTCGGGATCTCACGCAATGTGTCCACGAAGCCCTCGAATGCGGATCTGAATACTCGCCTGGGGAGGCTCAAGCTGGAAACCCAAAGGAATGACGAATGCTGTAGGGGCCTTAAGAATTAGAACAGGGTGTTGGGGCCCAATATACTATACCTGTCATAAGGAACCCACACAATACTGTTGATGGACAAAATCCTGCACTACCCATTATAAGGAATATGCCATAATTCCCATAATTTAGGGTCCTTAAAACCATGCAGGATTTTTGTCCATCAACAATCGTAAAGGTAATTATTTAGGCCCCTATACTGCAGGGTTTAGGGCTGCCAGCTTTTGGGTTGATGATTGAACCCTGAATCTGATATGGGAGCTTCCGAAAATTAGGGGTACCTTACTGTGGGGTCCCTATAATAAGGATCCTACTATTCAGGGTAGTATATTAGGATCCCCTATTTTCGGAAAATCCCATATCATGCACTTGCAACCGTAGCACTGAGTTTGTAGGTAAGCGGAGCCAAAGGCAGAGTTTTGGGGACCTCATCTGCTGATTGGAAGCGGGTAAGTTGTAGACTGAACTGCTAACAACTCACACACTATTCAATCCCAACAAACATAAACTAAAAACAGTCTTTACGTTTCTGGCCTCAGATTTGGAAAGCCTAAATGAGTTCGGAATTCAGATTTCAGGCTTCTGCAGCACAGAGAGGGTTGCGATGCTCGGCAGCCACAGAGCCTCAAGCCCGAAACTGTAAACGCTGAAGCATCTTGAAGCGTTGATAAGCTGCAACCGATGGCGCCCCCTGAACCCTAAACACCAGCTACTCAGACCCACCAACCACCCTCTAATACACCCTAAATACCCACTATTCAGGACCGTAAGGGCTCTATTGGCCATTTGGGGGTCCTGGTAACCCAACCCCTCTTCACCCAGCCCTCATACATTCCAGAGCCGTCGCACCTCGTCATGGCCGCTGTAGTCTGGATGTTAATGCCAACCTCCAGGCAAAGTTCTCGATACCAAACTACTCTGGCTCTTTAAAGCCTTTGAAAGATGTTTGGAAATACGATCCTCTTAGAAGAAGAATATAGTATGTCTTGAGGGCCTGCATAGCGAATGGAGTATGTAAGTGGATAGCATTTACAAGAGAAGCCCGGCTCATGGACCTCAAACCAAGGGACTATAGCAGTCTGACAGATATTGTTATTCAGATATAACCAAAACCACCGGACCGTAAACTGTCAAGTCCAAAACCCCAAGTACCCTTCTTGGGTATCGATGTCTTCTGCCTCAAGGGTGATGACATCACACTTGATATCGCGCATCGTTCGTGCAACGATGGGGTCAAGGTAGCATTCCTGAGCCCAGGCGATTCCCGCAATGTGGATGCAGCGTATACTTGGAGGATCATGGGGCTTAGTAAGTAAGGTTATAAGTACCTCAATTGAGGGTAGAAATAGTTATAAGTATAGTAACCTTACTTATAACCCTAGTTACTAAGTCCCATGATCCTTTAAGTAGGCTCTTGTGATTTCGGCTTGAAGAAAGGGAGGCTGGGGTTCAGGGTTTGCGGCCTGTCAACTTAGAAGGGGAGCAATAAAGAGCCCTAGGATATATCACCCCTTGAATACCTCGTCATGAGGGCTTGCTGACTTCAGTCGCGGGTTAAGGACTTCAGGTTTAGAGCTTAATAAGGTTAACAGTGTTTAGGGGCAAGCTGTACGTAGGGTTGTGGAGTTTAGAGGGTCGGATTTCGGAGTGTTGAAATCCAAGTTGCGGCTCCTTGCGGCGTCTCTTCAATTTTTATCGTGCTCTTTAGGCTCCCTTTTTGGGCCCCTGTATTCGGCAGCTTCGGACCTTGTGGTATGTGTGTTTTTCGAACGCACATGCTTCGAGGACCCTTCCATCTCAGACGGCATATACTACTTTCAGCATATCGCCAAACGCACCCTTAAGTTGATAAACACCCTCCGAACTCCTAAATCCTGCACCGAAGCCTTTAGCTAAGTGGATTGCGTCCCCTAGCCCCTAAACCCTAAACCGTTCGAAGAGTCGCCGCCGAAGCCCACATTCACAAGCTTCACGTCTGCTGCACGGGCCACCAGGGATGGCCATCTTAGGGCATGGCACTTAAACTTCATCGGGGCCTTAAACATTAGAATAGGCTTCCCTTACAGGGTTCCTTTAAAGTGAGTCCATAAAAGGTTTCTATTCACTATATAGCTTATAATAAGGAGCCCCCAAAATAGAATTAGAATTATTAAGGCCCCTGGAAGCATTTTGTAAGGGCTCAAAGTCTTCGGTGCCAGCGGGATTTTAGCTATTTAGGGTCTTGGGTTGTTGAGTTTTCTCTAGCTTGCTGTTCAGTGTTCGGATATCGAAAAAAGGATGGGTCTTGGGATTTGCATGCTCGGCGCTGTACTTATTAGGGCTTTCATCTTTCCAAATTTAACAGGAAGGACCCTTAATAAGGACCCCTAGGTAATATGCCCTTAATATAGCTATTGTATACCCATTATATAGGCCCATTATAGGGTAGGGGTCCCCATTAACGGTCCCTCCTCTTCCCCTTTGAACCTTGATTTGGGCTCAAGCTTTACACTATAAACTCCTAGGCCCTGCAAATGCTCCAAGCCCAGGGTTGATATAGCCCCAAGGGTAGGGTTTAGGGTTTAGTCCAAACGGTTGATGATATAAATCCTGAATTACCTTAAGGACCCTAAACCATGGGAATTATGGTATATTCCTTACTATGGGTCATGCAGGATTTATATCATCAATGCAGGATTTATATCATCAACCGAAGGACCCAATAACTAGGTACTCGGTCTTAGGATAGTAGTTACGTAGGTTAGGATTTTGGGGAAGTATATGATTATTGGGTACTTGGACCCTTGGGGTAGGGGTCTTAGCAATCAGAAATCCGCTATGAGGCATAGTAGATTATGAAGAAGGACTTATGTTCCGCTTCACTGCTGCATCTCCTGGCTAAACGGCGTTTAGCGTTCATAAATAGGGCTGAGGGCTTAGGGTTTTGGGCTTGGGCTTAAAGCCTGCAGAAACCCTACCGCTTAAGGATTCCGTGTGTATTACTTTGAGGTTTTGGGCTATTTCCGGCACCCCTAAACCCAGAATCCCAAACACCCTCACCCCTACCCCCTAAACCCATTATTAGGGTTTAGGGTTTAAGGTCTAGATACTTAGGGTTTACCTACTGATTTCTTTTTTCCAAGGAACCCTTCAGGGACCATTCATACGCTGGGCTCGCACGATATCAAGCTAAGAAGTCATAGAATAGGGAGCATCCCCCTGAATCCCAAAGTCAAAAGCGGTGTGACGCTGTGCATACTTCAACTTCGGATACCGCCCTAAACCCTAAACACTAAAACGATTTGTAAACTCCAAAGCCACAAGCCCGATAAGACTCCAAGAGTCTCAACCCCCAGAAACCTCCGACGGGTGCAAGCACTTAACCGGGTTAAGGGTTTAGGGTCTACCTTGACCCCAAAAGTATGCAGAATAATTAATCAACGGCTTAGGATTTTTGGCTGGAGGGGACCCAACTCTGGCTTCCGAGAAAGAAACGAAACTACCCTGCTGCTAGCCTTAACTCGGATAGCCACTTCTTGCTTAGGTACTCTGACCCTTACGTAGATAGAAACCCCCTCCGTGGCCCCTCTGCTTCTGAACAGGTGCTTTCGACCTGCGGTTGTAAACTTAAATGCCCACCCCCCCACCCCCCCACCCCGCACCCTTCACAAACCCTAAACCCTAAACCCTAACCCCTAAACGCTGCACCTTTCATAAACCCTACACCCTATACCCTAACCCCTAAACCCTAAACCTTTCATACACCCTAAACTCTAAATCCCAACCCCTAAACCCTTTCTAAACCCTAACCCCTAAACCCTCAACCCTTCATAAACCGTAAACTCTAAACCCTAACCCCTAAACCCTTCATAAACCCTAACCTCCAAACCCTAACCCCCCCCCCCCCCAGAAGATCCCGGTTCTCACATCCCAGCGAGGGGCATGCAGCTGGCTCGTCCTGCGCTTGGGCCCCCGTGGGAAATGGAGCTCCCATAGCCTCGGATTTGGGGCTCTTTCCCAAAGCTGCCAGTCTTAGAGGATCATGGGATTTAGTAACTAGGCTTATAAGTAAGGTAACTACACTTTTAATCAACTACTCTTGACTTTTAACCCTACTTCAGATACTTGTAACCTTACTTACTAACTCCCGTTATTCTCCATCCAGGGTTCCTCTGCGGGCTCCTTTCGGGGTTCCGCTGCGGTCGTACAAGGCTTACTACTGTAGAAGCGTGTTACAGGGCCCAGGTACCCATACTAAGGCCACTTAGGACTTAGGCGTGAAAGGGCTTCCGACATATAGGAATATTATAGAGAGTAAACGTATAGCGTGCGGGCTTACAAAGGTTGAGGTGAAATAGGGCTTCACATCAGGCATCTAGTCTTGGCTTTGCTTGGATTTTGCTTGCGATCTTTTGATACTGTGCAGTACTGTTTTGGATGGTCTGGAACGGCCTCCTGCTCACCGCTGTCAAAGGTTGAATTATATATAGTTAGCGGTATTTGGTAGCACGTCTGTGTGATTCCTGCAGCTGCTGTTGGCAACAGCACCTTTGTCAGTATTGATATTGCAGTCACCGACCGTGCTAGTATCACTCTTCAGGTTGTTCTTGTCTGTTGCACAAAGAGATATAAAATTGCTAACCGAAGACTATCCTCGTACTTCTCCTCAGCAAGAGGAAAGCGAATTCAGACAGAGGGGCAAAGCCAGGTACGACGCGGCTGTGAGCCTTGCTCAGGCGGTATCGATCATCGGCTTTGTGGTACAGGGACGATAAGGTGTCTACGTAGTACTCGGCGAAGGCTGGCAGAAGCTGAAACTCTACAACCCACAAGAGGCAAGCTTTATGCAAGAACTCTGCTATCCTACAGGTCTGAATCATGAGTTGACATCCACTCAAAGCCCCTGTATGTTCAAGCCTATGATAGATGCAAACCCTATTCTGGTTACTTAGACTTCCATGATAAAGACTTGGGATTGTTGAGGGCTCAGGGGCTGGAAAGCTGAGGACTTGGACACGTCTTAAGGTTCAGTAAATGTTTACAACTAAGAGGTTTCTCGAGTTTCAGTTCTCTAAACCCTCAACCCTCAACCCCTAAACCTCACCTTGACCCCAACAGTATGTAGAACAATAGCCGTTCGCAGGTGTTGAGGGCCATTATTGTATCCAATTTGGGGGTTAAACAATTTAGGTAAACCGTAAGCCGTCTCAGTTTTCAGGGGGGTCCTTACTGCTCTTCCCTAGGGGGATCATGGTCCTTCGCGGGGGACCGACGCCCTGAACAGTCTGAAGCCTAGATGAGTATGATAGGCCTTGCAGGCACATTATACATATAGAGGATATTCTAGTGTATTTATACAAAAGCTTTACGGAATAATATGACTTCGGCAGTCTCTACTCTGGCCCTCTAGTAGCATCAATCAGAGTAGAGTTTCAGGGATTAGGGCTTAGAGGTTTGGGGATATTCGGGGCAGTCTGCCAGGTTCCCCATGATCTCGTGAGTACCAAGGGCCAGCACAGGGGCCGTAACAGTTGGAATACGGTTTTGGAGTAAAGTAGGGCATATCCATCATAAGAAGCCCTGGAAACGTTCAGCATTACGATGTACTCAGACACCTATAGTATCCTCCCAACGAAGTCCCGCAACAGAAACTAAAATGGCTTTTGGGGGCAGACTTGTTTTTTGCGGGGCTGACTTGTCGGTTGTCTGACTTATTAAAAGAAAAATGTCGAGAGAAAACCTTAAACCCTAAACCCTAAACCCTAAACCCCCGAAGAGACGCGAGTTGGAGGCCCTCGCATGTCGCTTTGGTTACCCCAGGATCGCATGCGAAGGCGCCGAAGAATGGGAAAAGCCTAGTCGAAAAGGGTCCTAAGTACCAAAAGTAGAATGTAGGTTTCTATGTCAGGAAATAGTAGAATGTAGGGTCTCTATAATAATATTAGGAACCACTATGATTTGATGATTTGGGAACGTATCCCCCGCAACAATACAGGACCCTTGGAAGTGAAGACCAACCCATGCACCACATCCCGAGAGCAAATCAACTCCACTCTCAAATTCCAAACCCCGACCGTTAATGAGGGTTCAAAGGTTTAGGGTTTAGGGTTCAGAGGTCTAGGGCGGGTATAGTTTTTAGTTCAGGGTTTAAGGAAAACCCACACACCCCGAATGGGTTGGAATGCCGTTCCAAAATCCTGGCAAGAATTCCATCCTCCTTCGTTCCGAAGGGCAAGGCCACACTTCAGAACCATCTGTCTCCAATCGCCTCAGCCTGGAGCGGAGCTTTTGGTGCTTCGGTTGATGATATAAATCTTGCACTACCTTAAGGACCCCAAACTATGGGACTTGTGGTATATTCCTTATTATGGGTCATGCAGGATTTATATCATCAACCGTTGGGGTTTAGGGTTTACTGGAGACCTTTGGGTTTTGGATGGTTTTGGTGGATGCTCATACCGTGGGTACTGCGCCCACACTGTAACCGTCTTTCGTAGGGGTCCTAGTCATAGTAAACGCTGTAAAGAAGTATATTATTGTGCTGTGTATACTCTTTGGCTGTTTACAGAGTGGGGACAGCACCAAACTCATACCCCGGGTCTTTGGAGAAGCCCTTTCGTGCAAGCAACTGTCGCGAGGTTCGGGTTTTAGGGTGTTGGGCTTTTGAGGTTCAGGGTTTAGCTTACTTCTAGGGCTTTGATGCCTGATCTCAAGAACCTTGGCTTTAGATTCCGCAACTAACTTGCTCCTACCTGAACCCTAGGATGCACTTCTCTTTTTGGGTAGTGTTCTGGGTATCCTCAACCCGAAGGCCGTTGTATTGCCAGCACCAGCCAGCAACTCTCCATGTAACTTCAACCCTGAGCTCTACATCCCCTAAACCCATCATCCCAAAAACGCTCAACACCAGAACCACTCTAAACCGACCTACGAGTACCTTTTTGCGAAGCCTTACTCTGACAAACTCTTGTAAGTCGTACAAAAAGAACAGATTCTCCGGGGATATTTGAGAGTTGAGCCCGGCGACCTTAAACCCTAAACCCGAAACCCAGAAACCCTAAACTTGCGACCCTCAAAAGCCCAAGCAGCAGGCAGAGAATCCTCGCCTCAATGGCCGCGAGGTTGGCAAAAAGATTTCCAAGAGCTTCTTGCCAGATCTTGGTTGACGGTTTAGGCCTTTAGGGTTTAGGGTTTTAGGGTTGAGGGCTTATGGTTTAGGGTTTAGGGGTTTAGGGTTTAGGGTTTATATAGGGGTTTAGGGTTAGATCTTGGTTGAGGGTTTAGGGCTTTACCAATAGTCTCCATTGTACTTCCTTTTTGGGGTTACCTTTTGGGATCCTTAATATAATATTGGTTAAACCAAAAAAAGGAACTACAATGGAGACTATAGGTAGGGGTTTATTTAGGGGTTAACCCTAAACCCTAAACCCTAAACCCTAAACCCTAAACCCTAAACCGAGGTTTTGGGTTTAGGTTTCTTGTTTAGTGTAGGGGGTTTAGGGGTTTAGGGGCTCGGGGCTCAAGGTTGCCTTCTAAGTGTAAGAGGTTTACGGTTTGGGGGTTTAGGGTTTAGGCTTCTTTTTTAAAAAGTGTCAGGGGTTTGGGGTTTAGGGGTTTTAAGTGTCTTTGTAAGTGTAGGGGTTTTGGGTTTAGGTTCCTGTTTTTTGTGTAAGCGGTTTAAGGTTTAGTGTTTAGGGGTTTAGGTTTCTTTTTAAGGTGCAAGGGTTTAGGGTTTAGGGGTTCAGGGTTCGGGTTTCTTTTTAAGTGTAAGGGGTTTGCGGTTTAGGGCTTATGGGTTTAGGGTTTAGATTTCGTTGTAAGTGTAGGAGGTTTACAGTTTAGGGCTTACGGGCTTTAGGGCTTAGGTGTTTTTTTCAATGTAAGGGGTTGAGGGTTTAGGGTTTTCGGTTTCTTTTTGTTTCAGCGTAGAGGGTTTAGGGTTTAGGGTTCGGGGGGCGTTTGTCGGTTGTTGGTTTGTCGGCCTCCTTGTTGAGAGATATCGCTTGGACTCGCAGGTGCTTCGGACCTTGTGGGCAAGCGTTAGGCCCTGCAAACCTGAAGCTCGGAAGCCTAAGACGTGAACCCTGAAATAGAACTTACGGGCATCCCTTGATACCCCGAGCAAGAAACCCAACACCCTAAACCTACCTCATATCCCGAACAAGAAACCCAAAACCCTGAACAAGAACCCCCCCACATACCGAAGTTGCAGACAAAGGCACGGAAGGTCAGCAAAACGAACTTCGTGAGGTGCGCCAGCCTCCTTTGCCCAGAGATTCCAATATCCCTTGATTAAGGAATATTTCAAATCCATCATCATCATCATCGTCAGCATCATCATCAAGTTCATCTTCCGATCCCTAGCGACATTTTGAGGGACGTTCATCGGTTAGTCGACCCAACAGAAACAAAACACACTAGAAAAGGGGCCATAACAACAGAACAGAAACCAACAACAACTAGAACAGGGCCCATAATGATTAGGATAGGGTGTGGTACATTATACTATGAAAATAAATAATAAGGAGCCCCCCAAAAGAGCAAACGTAATTATTTAGGCCCCTATGCTAGTTTTGCTGGCTTCTGCTGGGTGGACTAGCAGGTGCACGCCCCTCACAATGTCACTAGGGATCGAAAGATGATCGTGATGATGATAACGGATGATGAGGTTGCTGATGATGGTGTTGGTGATGATGATGTTGTTATTGAGGACAAGAATGAAGCTCCACGGCTCACAGGAAGAGAGCCCGGGGGTTTGGTGTGTTTTCTTCTTGTGTTCGGGGTCCTTGCTTCGCGGGTGTCTGTTGACTTTGGCGAAACTCCCTTATGAGTGATGGCCGGCACAGCACTGATGAAAGCGAGGACGCAGACATGGACCGTACTCCCAGGGACCTTCATAGGGATGGCCCTGCTCCTCCTGGCCGCGGCTACCAACCTGCAGGACCTCCCAGACCGATCCCGGTGGCCGGCCCAATGCCTGACTACATACAGCCTGCCAGGAACGACGACAGCGAGGCCGAGGAAGCCTCTAGAAAGCGCAGCCTGGACGACAGCCCGAGACGACCCACTCAGGCCAATGCAGCCACCGGCCGGGAAGAGCATACTGCCTCAGCCTCGCCGCCCTCACCGCCTTCTACCGACTCCTCAGATAACGATGATAGCGACAGCGGGGCAGCAGACAGCCCCAACCATGCCGCGGCTGCGGCACCAGGGGCAGACGGCCCTGCTGCTGGAGATGATGACTCGGACCACGGATGGTGGAGCGACACGTCGCTCGTTCTGGAAGGAACACAGCTGGCAGAAGCCTGTGACCGACTATGTAACCTCTATAGACAGCACCTTCTGTCTACAGAGCCCACTATTAGCACCCGATCACTGGCCGGCAAAATGGGGGCGCTGCGAAGAACACTTCGCACCTGCACATGGAACCGGGTACAAGGCATTGCAACCCTGCGACTGGCCGGGGAAAGCTTGCGGGAATGGTCTTCATACGAGTTCCAAGCCACGCACCAGTACCACGGAGCAGATCCTTCCGGCCCACCGTGAATGGAGGTGCAGGGCTCGAAAACCATGGAGTAGACCCCGTAGTTTGTGCAACTGTGCCTACCAGCTACTGCCACTGTTGCACCCGCATCAGCCGGCAACTTGCTCTGCATATCGATCAAAACACGAAGCCCAACGAAGGCGCGCTGCACGGATGTGGCAACGGCTCTCATCCAGACGACCTGCCACTCCACCGAAGAATCCATCAGGACAGCGGAACCAGTCATGCACACAAAGTCCAGAGTCTCCCTTCCATAATCACCCTAAGGTTACACACCATAAGACCCACCCCCTTAATGATCAATTGCGCCGCTCCGGTCCCAAGTCCGGAGACCGTAGACCTATACCAAGCCTCTATAAATTAGTGCTTATACATGCTACGGTTGGAGCGAGGGTTTCCTCTGGAGTCGTGACAGAGGAGAGACCTGGCATGGGACCTGCTCCTATGCTGGGGAAGCGCAGCGACACCGCGCAACCAGGCAGGGGAACCTCCTTAATTGGGCCACATAGCCTCACCATGCAAGCTAAAAGAGCATACAAGAGAGCCTGTCGCCGAGCCTTGTCCTCTCCGCAGGAAGGGACCATGTACAGAGGCAGATGGCACAGCAAACAGGCACTAGTGCAGTTGCAGCACAAACCCCAAGCTTCCCAACAACCTCCGAAGGTCAATGGCCACTGCAGGAAAGCTTCTACCAGGCCTGCTCCGAAGCTGTCAGTGCTAAGCTGGAACGTAGGGGGATTGGCTTCGCACATTTTCCAGGAACTAATGGCATGGCTAGCCACACACGGTGTGTGGGATGTTGTCGTGCTTCAGGAAACACACTGGGGCATAACAGAAGACTTCAGCAGTGGTGAGTGGAGCTGTGTCCACAGCTCTGGCCATTCCGCAAAGGACGGCCCGGACAAGTCGGCGGGCATCTTGATTATGGTGTCTCGCAAGGCCTTCCGCAACATTGCTACCCAAGAGCATGTCCCAAGCAGACTTCTGCAAGTTAGGGCGTACCACAACCAAAGCCAGCACAACGTCGACATACTAGGCCTTTATCAGCACGTACATCGCACCACCTTGAGTGCCAGCCAAAATCGAAGACTCCGCCAGGGAGTCTGGCACGCACTGCAGCAAACCCTTGACACTTTACCAGCCAGAAATAAGGTCATCTTGGCAGGGGATTTTAACTCGACCCTTAGTCAAGCCCCTCCGGGTGTAGGCCCCTCAGTTCCACACCCCGATACCCATGATAACCACGATGCCACACTGCAGCAATTGCTCCTGGACTACGAGCTGTGTGCGCTCAACACATGGCACGCGCGGCCAAAGCACACATTCTTCAGCACCACCACCCGAAGTCAACTGGACTATCTCATTGTGAAGTGCACTGATGCTGGTGCAACAGCAAAGTTATCAGCCCCCTTGACAGCATTCCCTGTGACCGGTGACCGGTTGTCCAACCATATCCCGGTGCAGGCTTCGCTGCAGCTCCGACCCTTACGGCATCAACCGAAGGACCGGCAGGCACAACCGGCCTTCGACAAAGCCGCCCTGCATCAAGCCATTGAGTCTGGTGCACCACAGGCCAGCATGCTGCAACAGGCGGTCTCCGCCCGTGTCGAGGCGCTACCAGCGCCAGCCTCAATCAACTCACTGCATCACGAAATAAACAGCATCCTGCTGCAGGAGACCTGCAGGCTCTTCCCACCACAGGGACGAGCAGACCACCGGGTCAGTGCTGATCCCGGCTTTAGGGCCAGTGCTGCTAGAACGTGGTCTCTTTACCGAGCAGTCAAACGGCCAGGTGTTGTCACACTGGCCAACATCCTGCAGAGGTGGCGTGTTGTGGCATGTTTTCACAAAGCCTCCAAGGAGTTAAAGCAACAGAGTAGACAGCTAAAGGTTGCCTTCCACCGCAACCAGCTTCATCAAGCTGAAGAAGCAGCCTCAGCTGGCAACTTAAGAGAGCTTTTTCAGATCACTCGTCGACTAGGGCCCCGCAAGGCTCGTGTTGCATCCCGCCTCAAAGACGAGAATGGCAACATCATGACAGAGCAGGCTGAACTAGCTACCGTCATGAAATATGGTCAGGAAACCTTTGCAGCTATCCCAGACAGCAGACAACAGCTTCCTCTCCTTGAGGACCTCACCTTTGGCCCGGATGAGATATGGCACGAGCTCTCCCATCTAAAGCACCAGAAGGCCGTTCCGAGCCACTGCGCCCCCAGTGCAGTCTGGAAGCTCTGTGCACAGGACCTGTACCAACCACTGAGCACGGCTCTCAACCTCCACTTCAAGGCGGGTTCCACCGCCACCCTAGAGGGTGACATGAAGGACACCAACGTAGTCTGGTTACCAAAGCCTAGTAAGCCTCCGACTTCAGTTGCCTCCCTCCGCCCAATAGGCCTAATGCCACCTTTCCCTAAACTCGTAGCCGGTCTCTTGGCGGCCCCAATCCAGCATCACATTGCCCCTCTCCTTGATCACCTTCCCCAATATGCATATAGCCCAGGCCGAGGATGTGCAGATGCCATCCACCGTGTGCATCGCCACTTCGACGAGGTCGAACAGATCATCCAGAAAAATCAGAGCAATAGATTCACCATGCGGCAGGGACATGTCCCGTCGCGCTGTGCAGGAGGTGCTTGCCTTAGCCTGGACCTTTCAAAAGCATTTGACTTTGTCGATCGGAATCATCTGACCGACACCCTGCTCGAACAGGGGATACCTCCCAATGTCGTCGCTGCGATCCAGCAGCTCCACAAGCAGGCGAGGTACCACTATGATATCAGGTCCCGTCAAGGATGCACGATCACCACAAACGGCATCAAACAAGGCTGCCGAGTGGCGCCGGCGCTCTGGCTCTGCTACAGCATCTCTGTTCTCCAGGCTCTCGCCAGGCAGCGGGACCTAGGATGGCTGCACCGTATCATCACCTTGTTTGCGGATGACTGGTGCGGGGCGTGGGTCATAAGAAATCGTCGGGATTTTGTCAAAACACTTAGCGACCTTGAACTTCTGCTTGAGATCCTTACTATCTTTCAGCTCAGGGTGAACTATCAGAAAACTGCTCTCTTGCTCACTCTTCATGGGAAAGACGCGGAAGAAATCCTTGCACAACATACAGTTACTAAGGAAGGGCAAACCTTCCTCAAACTTAAGGTCCTAGGAGTTGAACAACATCTCTGCATCCGTGACTCACATATTTACCTGGGCACAGTCATTGCGTATCGACATCGCCTCGACCTCAATATCACTCATCGCATTGAATCTGCCCAAACAAGATACCAGCTCATCCGGCGGATTTTGAACGGTAAAGGACCCCTCTCAGCCAAACACAAGCTCCGACTGTGGAATGCATGCATCAGCCCGTGCTTGTGCTATGGCATAGAAGCCGTAGGCTGGACCCAATCCGAAGTCAAGCGCCTGACTGTACTAGCCACTAGACACATCAGAGCCATCTTGAAACAACCCGCACACCTTACCCACATCAGTAACGACGACATCTGGACCACTGCCCAACTTAAACAACCCAGCCAGGTTATCCTTGATAAACTAGCGAATCTCATCCTCAGTCGTGACCCCACTTACAGCATCACGGGAGCCAACATTGTGGTCAATGCTGACGTTCACACCAGCCTTCGCGACCTGCAGGTGACTATGCAATCAATCTCCGAAGGCGCAGCCTCCCAAGCGGCCGCCGAGGAATCCACCGAAGCTGTAGAGTGCCCACACTGCAAAGCTCGGGTTCTTAACTCGCACGCCCTCTCAATCCATATGTCCCTTCGCCATCAGGACATTGAGAAGCCTGCTGCAGAGAAGTGTCGCTTCGACCCAGTGCGACACTCAATTGCCGGCATGCCTACGTGTAGGCTCTGTCTCCGCAACTTTACAAAATGGCAGCAGCTAAAGCTACACATCACCCGGAAGTCATGCCCTGAACTAGGCGGTCTTAGCCATAAACTTAGCCCAGTTCCACCCGACAATGCAGCCCTGAGGCATCTTCCAAGCATCCCACAAACACCGGGCAAGGCAGCTGCACCGCACGATGCAGAGCCAGGAAAAAGTGCGACTGCACTTCCGGATGAATTGCCACTTGTTTTACGAGCTGATTTTCACGGTGACTTGAGAAGATGGGAAAAACGCCTCTCTTGCTCCGCTACCAAAGCTCTGCTCAGCTCGCACTGTGCACTGTGCAACATGTGGATTGCCGATCAGAAGCATATTCGACAACACTACAATCGTGTACATCACGCCGCGCACCCTGACATTCTGCCTGCCGCGCTAGAACTCAGTAAAAGCTTCAAGAGCCACCTCACGAGGGGTAAATCGTGCCGGTGGTGTCAAAGCAAAGTGGGAGCCCCAGGTCGCCATTCCACACAATGCGTGGTTCTGAATCAGCTAGCTCTCGCTTATGAATTCTGCAAGCGGGGCATGCACCAACCACTGCTGGATCAGGATGGCTATGGCGGATTTGGAAGCGAGCATCTTCGAGCATTGCATGCCCACGGGGGCGGCAAAGGCAGCTCTCGGATCGGAGTCCCAACCGGACACCTTGAGTCGGGCAGCACAGGCCCTCCAGGGAGCTCCACAGGGGGGGAAGCGTCCGCGGGGCCCAGGCTGTGGCAGCAGCCCCGGCATCAGCCACATGCACCTCAGATGCCACCTCAGATGCCTCCACCCTACCCAACAGCCGAGCATCAGATCGACATTCTCTCCAAGCTAGTCCTCAAACACGAAGAAGCACTTCACAATCTCCGCAAAGATACCGCCTATGTGCTATTCTTTCGCCAAGACGAGAAAAGCTTGGTGCCGAATCTGATGGAGGTGGCCAGGCAGTGGAGAGAGAAGGCAGCATCGGCAACACCGGATCCAGGCCTGCAATCTCCACTTCGAACGGTGCTGATCAACTGCTTGCTCAAGGAACTGCTGCAGCGCACCCAACGGGTGGTTGCAACAGAGGCCGGACGTGCGGACTTGCAGAAGATGGGCTGGCTCGACTCCCAGGGCCACTGGACCTACCTCAAGTGGAGTCCACAACAACGCCGCCTGGTGCTCAACGAGGCCAAATCCCCGATCACACACGACACAATGGTCAAGACCATAACCGAACTTCAAGCCAGTATGACGGGGGAAATAATACACCGCTTCAAATCCAAGCAACCGATGTGGGCGATCGAAGAAGAAGGCAGCTCGCAAGCTGTCTTCGATCTGGAGATAGCACTCCGGGGTGCCACATCAGACGAAGTCCACCAGAACTTCGGGATCTTGGCGGGGAGTGCGGTCACAAACCTGATTGGGCTCTCGATGAAGCGAGACGACAGGCCACGCCAACCGCAGGCGCAGCAGCTGGCACAACTAGTGTACCCAGGCCGGCTAGGGGTGACCCCCATAATCCTCCCCGCCCTAGCAACACCCTGCATAACTTCTTCTCATCCGTCCGTAAGCCCAACCCCACTAATTCCCACGATCATCCACATAAAGAACGTAGCCGCAGCCCGCCGACACATCCTGTTTCTAATCATAGGTTCACCCTGTATAATCCGCAAAACTTTTGCTACCTTAACTCCTTCATCTACTGCATGGCAGTATTGGAAAACCACCTGCAGAGGCACATCCTCCCACACGTCTTCCGGACCATTCCGACAGCGCCGATAAATGCCATGGCAGAGCTTGGCTTCTTCTTGATGGGGTGGCGAAGGCCTCACTTACAACATGATGTCGTTGAGCTTGCCGATTTCTTAATTCCTAGACTGTTGCCAGATGCCTCAAATCATGGTTGGGAGTCCCGACAGCTCTTAGAATGTGAACTTCGGCGGGTGGAAACAGGAACCTTTGGCTCCTGCCTGTCACTTAGCTGTGTTGCGCCCAAAGGGCCGAACATCCAGGACTTGTTGCAGGAATGGCATATGCATCAATCAGCCAAACATGCCATGCTCACTCTTTCACCGTGGTTGTTTCTCCAACTCCCGAGAGCCCACATGCAAGCAGGCCACCCATGCAAGCGACATGAGGCTTACATCCTCCCGAACGAGTTGCTCCTTCCATGTTTTGAGGGGCACGCGACCTTGGATGTCAGGTGGGCCCCCTATGTAATCCGAGCCCTCATCACACATCATGGCGAGCACCTGGCCACAGGTCACTACCGAACTCTGATTCGCGAGGGGGAAACTTACTGGCTTCAAGACGACGCCCGCAGGGCGGTAAAAGCATCAGAAGCACAGCTGACCGATGCCTCCTCCTGTGTGTATCTCATGCTCTTGATCAGAAAAACAGCTGCTGAAACTGCCACCGTAGCTCCTAGCTCAAGCTCAGTAGCACTCCGACGAAGTCTCGATGATGCATTCGCCGCCCACCAGCCGGAACATGAACTGGTGGCTCGAGCATCGTCTATTTGCCATGCAACTGCAATTGATGACTCTGGAAGCCCAGATCGAACTGACGAAGTCCAGATTGGCAAAGCTGGAGCAGAATCCAGCACTACAGGTGCAGGTGCAGCGAGCACCTCGGACGAAACCACATCCAGTGCATATGCCTCGTCCAAGCACTCCGAAGGGATTTCTCCACACTCTAGATGAGTGACCATTAGACTCGTCGGATGTAGCAATTTTGGAGCAAGTTGCAATAGACAACTTGCGAGAGCTTGTTCCCATGGCGCCTCGGCGCTTTTTGTTCCCCTGCCCCTAAGGGCACCCGTGCCGAGTCACCACTGAGTGACCGAGAGCTCAGCTCTTGCTGGCGCACGCTAGCTTGGACTCGTTCTTAGCTGCGGTGGAAGAAGAGGACAAGAATGAGGCTAATTATGATGGTGATGATCATGATGACGATTTCCGTGGTGATGACGATGATGATTCTCACTCTCTCAGCGATATTTGCTGAACCGAATCTTACGGCCCTACCCGGGCGATAATACATAATCTCGAGCAATACAACGACAATAAGGCACACTAATAAGGAAAGCCTCAAACCTAAACTCAAGGAGCGGACCCATGATGTAGGGGCCTTAAGCACTAATTGGAATATGAGTTTGTGGTCCATTATACTACAACGATAGTAAAGAACCCCAAAATAGTATAGGTAATTATTAATAAGGCCTCTGTATTACATTACACGGTGTCGGAGTCCTCTTTGGGAAGCTGACGATCGAAGAACTTGCCGTCGACGTAGAGCTCGTACTCCAGAGGCCTAGGAACAAAAAGAGACCCCTAAGGGTTCAGGGTTTTAGGGTTTTAGGTTTAAGGTTTAGGTTCCAGGGTTTTAGGGTTTTAGGGTTTTCCGGTTTAGGTTTTAGGGTTTTAGGGTTTTAGGGTTTTAAGGTTTAGGTTCCAGGGTTTTAGTGTTTTAGGGTTTTCAGGTTTAGGTTTTAGGGCTTTAGGGTTTTAGGGTTTTAAGGTTTAGGTTCCAGGGTTGTAGGGCTTTAGGGTTTTCAGGTTTAGGTTTTAGGGCTTTAGGGTTTTAGGGTTTTAAGGTTTAGGTTCCAGGGTTGTAGGGTTTTAGGGTTTTCAGGTTTAGGTTTTAGGTTTTAGGATTCACTCCAAGGATGACCCTCCCAAACCGCAAGCCCGAAACCGCTATGACTAAACCCCCCACACGCCTACACACCTAAACCCTAGACGACCCTAAACCGTATATTAAGCTTTCATCCTTTTCCCCTGGAGCCCAATGGATTATTAATCATACAAAGCCTAAGCCCTAAAACCAGCTAGGGTCGAAGCACAAGCCAAACTAAGTTTGAAAGCTGCACATGAAATCGAAAGCTGCTTGCAATATCTGAACGGATCTCCCATTCTACGACTACCAAGGAAACCAAAACTCCCACACCCTAAACCTAAAAACACAAAACCCGAAACCTTAAAACCTAATTCCCAAAACCCTAAACACTAAAACCTTAAATTAAATGCTTTACTAAACCTTCAAGCAGGGCCGCTGGTGTTCGATTCAAGGAACCGAACAGCTGTACGATTCTGCCGCTTTGCATCGTTTCTGTTGAGGCTGCTGACTTTTGCGTAGGTGGGTACTAGCTTTCACTGACGTTTCGGCCCGGCTGGTGCTAGGGTATGCTGACGACTATCATCTGTGAAGCGGCCAGGTCATACGCATACGCCCGCATTCAAACTCGCTGCCCGAAGCTTTAGAGGCTGAGCCGTGGACCCGAAAGCAGTCCTAACCTAAGACTAAAAAGTAAGCAATGTTTACGCTCCAGACCACACGAACTTTACGGTGTGCTAGGGTGCCTCGCCCAATGTCTCCTACCTCCACAAGTAGTGGGCCAACGAACCACATCCCTTGCAGGCTATCGGCTATCAACGCGAGCATTTACCAGCCCGGAATTAAACACACCATGCCACAGGAAACCTTTTGGGCAAGGCTCAACCAACTGAGCATAACAGAACGTAAGCCGAACTCGACTTGAAGCACAATCACCTTTGATACGAAGCCTATTCAGGCTCCAATGTAGTGCTACTTGGAATCTTAACAACACGAAAATAGCACCAAGGCTTGTCATACATCTGTACTGTAGGGGCCTAGATAATAACCTATACTATCTTGGGGCTTCCTTATTTCTAATTGTAGTATAAGGGGCCCCAAAACCCAATTCTAAATAACGTCCCTTTATTGCACGAGCTTTAGTTCTAAAAGCAGCTCCAAGACACCCGGCAGTGCGCTGGAGGGCCTCCACATCTGCGCCGTCTGGAGCATGAGCCTCATCAGTTGCTGCCGACCCAACTAGAGGCCCTAGGTCTTCCTTGAAGGGCTCCAATAAGGGGCTCCTGTAAAGGGATCCTTTAAGGGCTTAGCGTTTTCGATCTTAAGGGTTCCTTTACGGCCAAGGGATCTACAAGAGTTGCAAGAAGGCAGCCTCGCAAGACCATGTAATTAATTAGTTTATAAGGCACGCGTCAGTTTTCAAAGGGCTTCATTGTATATAGGCACTTTCCCAGTCCAAGTATGGACTGGATGGCTGCATTATGATGTGTGTGTGTATACATATGTAGGCATATGTATACATATGTCTATATATATATATATATGTATACCAGATGATGTGCGCATGTGTGTGTGTATATATATATATACATATGTCAATGTATCTCTGTGTGTGTGTTTGTGCGATTGTACCTGGGCCTTTTGAGGGTTAGGAGCTGCGTTTTGTCTCGTTTCTTTGGCTTCCGGGCTCAGGGCTTTTGTGGCTCTTGGAAACTACCGAACTTTACAGACGCAAACCCTAAACCCTAAACCCTAAACCCTAAAAACTCTTCCTTCCCAACAGCTTCATTGTTGTTTGCAGTCTGAATCCTCTGGGGGCTATAGCAGGCTGCACGTAGCTCATGGATCCCCTTGTAAGGGTTTCTAGACATACAAATGCTTGCAGTGCTTGGGCTTCAGGGGTTGGGGATGTAGATCACTTAGGGTTATGGTCTGACGGTTCAGGGTTCCGCTTTGAAGCGGTTATGATGTGCAATTACCCGACAGCCACGGCGAAACCACCCCGCAAAAATCTACAACACTCTAAGAACCTATGAAGGCCCCTGTGCAAGATAGTCGGAATCCTCCAAAGCCCTTAGTTTTGGCTTAGAGCTTGGGGTTTAAGGCTTAGCATCAGGGTTTCGGGCAGCCATTGCAAAACCACCCGGCAAAAATCTACAACACTCTAAGGCCCCTGCGTGCAAGGGGGTCGGAATCCTCCACAGCCATAAGAATTGGCTTACATCAGGGTTTCGGGTTCAGGGTTTAGGGTCTAGGATTTTCAATCAGGGTTTGGGCCTCAGCCATCAGCTCCAGCAGTTCCGTCGCACTCTCCAGTCGGATCCTGGCATATAGGGCTTATAAAGGGGCCTCTAAAGAATTAGAATAAGCTTCCGGTGATTACTGTCGCCAAAACTTGGGAGTTACAGAAAACTAGGGGTGCCTTATTTTGGGGTCCTTCTAATAAGGATCCTACTATTTAGGGTACTGTACTCGGAAACTCGTCTATCTAAGGCAGCAGCGCGTAAAGGCCAGTTTTGGCTTGCTGCAAGTGCTCCCGGCGTGACAACTGATTCTGGGTAAGAGGGTGTATTGGGTCGACCTGCACCCTGAATGATTCGAAGAGGCTTACGGGGTAGAGTGCGATATACTTGTAAGAGGCAGCCCTTAGGAGTACCATGAATGATCTAGGTGTCGATTTCAACAGTCCCGAAAATGATTCATAACTAGGGCTCTACATTAAACACGAAGAGAAATGACAAGTTATCCCGAATCGAAACCTAGAAACCCTTGTAGTACCCCGTATAGATCCCTTATAGGTCCTTTTATTTAGACTCCATTGTAAAAGCATTCCACAGCCGACTTCCGGCCCAAGTTAAAAAAACTCTTCTTACGCAGTCCCTGACTCGTAAAAAACCATGCGCAACCCTGCAAAAAGACGTTTAGGGTTTCGGGTTTAGGGCATTCCTTGCGACTTGAAAAACACCCCTGCGAAGCCCTCCAAAAAGTGCATTGAAGCCCTTGCTTCTTCAAGACCCTCCTTGTTGAAAAGCCCTTACAACCCTATGAAGCCGTTTGAAACCCGTGCTTACGTAAAGGGGCGAGGGACTCTTACCACCCCACCTGAAACCCTAAATTCAAAAGCAAAGACCACCTGAACCCAAAACCCCAAACCGTATCAACCTAAGACCTCCTAAACTTGAAACATGAATGCTAAACTCCAAAACATCCAAACCCTAAACCCTGAATCCTAAACCTTCGAAAGCCTCAAACCACACAGCACTTCAGTAATCCCGAAACCCTAAACCCTAAACCCTAAACCCTAAACCCTAAACCCTAAACCCTAAACCCTAAACCCTAAACCCAGTAATCCCGAAGCCCTAAGCCCTCTTAAGCTGGCCTAACTGCAGCGCAGCTGGCCATTGCCATAAGGCCGGGGTCCAGCCGAACCCTGCCGACTTGCCGTTTTTTTCTTGTCTTTTAAGGTCCCTGAGGCTCCAATATGTCTTAATTCAGGAATATCCCTTAAATTATACTAGGATCCCTAATATGACTTAAGGAATAATTGGAAGTCTGTGGGGACTTGGGGTTAAGGGTCTTAGGCATTTACACAGGGTTTAGGCTTTAAAGGCTTCGGGTTTAGTTCGGGTTTAGGGATGCGGTTTCACTTGGCACTAGGGTTTAGGGTTTAAGGTGCTGAGTTCAGGAGTTTACATACACGGTCTGGGGAATGCAGTCAATAAAGATTGGGGCTTTCACAAGGGGCTTCGGGATTGCCATGCATTAGGTGTAGGTATCCCTATGCGTACCGTTTTTGACTGTGTAATAGGGTCCAGCGTTTAGGGTTTAGGGGGTGTCTGCTGCGACAGTCAAGCATTTATCTTGCTTTGAACGACCGGGAGGAATGCTACACTGTGTTTACATACATAACCTGATTCGTTACTACCAGCCCTGCCTGTTCAGATCAAACTAGCATCATTGAATTACACGGGTCCATGGACTTTCATGTGGTACGGTTGATGATATAAATCCTGCATGACCCATAATAAGGAATATACCATAATTCCCATAGTTTAGGGTCCTTAAGGTAATGCAGGATTTATATCATCAA